AAACTCTTGACACTTTCATTTCGGAGCAGAGCTCTGCACGAGTCCCAAACCTGAAACCTCATATAGTGTCATGCAACACGAGCTAATGCATTACAGCGCTGCACAACACTGGACTCATCTGCAGTACTGGGGTGCAGCTGGAAGGGCATCCGCTGTGTAAAACATATGCTGGAATAGTTGTTGGTTCATTCTGCTGTGGTGATCACTGATATATGAGGGACTAAACTGAAGGAGTGGGTTATATTGTGCATGAAGATCTGCAGAATCTGGAGGCGCAGGAGCCAGTGGAGAGGCCGGTCAGCTGACTCTGCTCATGTGGACTCTGGAGCTCTGCAATGGGGAAGCGCTGGACTCCGGTGCTGATGCTTCTCAATTTAAAGACTAAAGTTGGCCTCAGATGTGTTTTTCTCTCATTTTCACTTCTCTAAAATCAGATGAAGTCTTGTGTAACACAAACTGAAGGACAGCGTCAGCAGAGGATGATGGGACATGTAGTTCTGAACACTCTGAGATTGTGTTTGTGTTAACCAGCAGAACTGAAATACACACTGAACTGCTCACGGTGAGTCTGCTGTGTGGCTTTGTGTCTCCACACACGCACGCACGCACGCACGCACGCACACACACACACACACACACTGATGTGTTGATATGAGTCAGGATGATGGTGTGATGGGTGTTCAGTGATCAGGGTTGGAGATGCTGTGGTCTGTGTGACGCTCGAGTTTCTGAGATTATTGAGAAACAGAATATTGAGCAGGGGGCGGGGCTTTATTCAGTGCATCATTCCCTCATAGAAAACAGTGAAAGGGGCTTGGCTATGAATATAGTGTATTAGAATATAGTGAAGCTCAAACTGACGTCATCATCAGGAGCGAAACAGAAGCAGACGCTCACTCTGAGACAGTTTATTGCTGGATTAACCTGCACAGACCTGATGTAGAAGACTGCGCTAGTGACATTAACACTACAGCAGAGCTGCACGACACTGAGTAAACCTGAAACTGTAATATTTACATTTTCTGAACACAGTTTCTGTAGATTTGAAGAGCTGAGTTTGTGATTTCTGTCGCTGAATACTGTCAGACTCTGCAGAAAACTCAATCACAGTGTTCCTTCAGAAGAGTTTTCCTGAGAACAAGCTAAATGATCTGCCAGTGCAGTGAAATAATACTGCTTTTGTGCTGAAATGTGGATATTTGGTCTAGAAACGGTCAAAAAAAAAAATCTACAAATTAATTAAGTTCTGCAGAATTAAACATGATTAATCTGTTACACCGGCAAACAGGCATGAGATGATAACCGTGTTCAGGGTATATCAGCCAGGAGAAGTCGAGGTTTTAAAGCTGGTATACTGGTGCTGAGATGTGTGCAGGATATTTCTTCCTTTATTTGTTTATCAGGACGGCAGTGTGTCCAGCAGGACAGATCTCCAGAGATGCTGAACTCATTGTAATGACATCAGTGTGTTTTAGATGCTGATGAGGACAGCAGCAGCAGGAGATGACGGATCTGATCTTCACTGTAGCAACATCTTGAATATTTCCCAAACTCAAGTATACTGTTGAGGAAAGTGGCTGTTTTTAACTCAGACATTTACAGAGTAGATGATAGAGTCGTGATCACAGCACTGTGAAACTCTGGAGTTTATATTTGAGGTTATCACAGCGTCAGAGTCTTACACCAGCCCACCCCGGCCTGCAGACGTCACTGATGTGCAGAAATGTTGAAAACTGAGGAGAAATGCAGGTCTTGATGTGTGTGTGTTGTGTTGATGAGCGCGGGCTCTGTGTCTCCTGCTCTGTGATGCAGACTCTACACTGTGATGTCTATACACGCTGAGGGGATCTGCAGCGCTGCTCTACTGTGATGAGCTGAGCTCTGCTGCTAGTGTGTGTTAGTATTGACTGATCAATCGCTGGTCATAGCTGATCAGCTGATCACTGGAGAATCATCAGCTGACCTCTGTGTCTGCTATAGCTGCTGGTGTACTGATTGATTAGCCTGCAGAGCTAGCATTGAGTACAGGAAGACATTAGTCAGATCAGATCTGTCTGTGTGTTCACCCCGTTATAATGACTGTGTCTATAATGCTGGGGTGTGTGTGCGCGTGTGTGCGTGTGTGTGTGTGTGTGTGTGTGTGTGTGTGTGTGTGTGTGTGAAGCTTCTCATCCTGAGCTGGTTCAGTTCTGCTGCTGGATCAGCTCAGGGTTTCTCCATGACCTGGGGTTTCAGGATTCTTCATCAGGGAGTCGAGCAGGACAATCAGGCCGGATGAGCTTTAGCCATGACACACACACCTGAGAATGCTGGAACACTGCGCTCCATGTGTGTGTGTGTGTGTGGGGGGGGGGGGGGGTTAGGCGGTGTCAAAGGTCATCTGTGGGATCTCTCTCTCTCTCCCTCTCAGGTGTCCAGGAAGCTCCTTCAGTTGCTGCTGTCTCATCGCCAGCCAACCGTCTTCCTGCTGACACTCCTGCCTTTCTGCCAGCACACACAC